AGTGTACACGATTCGGTTATAAATCGGTTAGTGGTCACTTTTAAAATCCTTCCTTCTGAAAAGAAATCTATATACTATTTTTGTCATTTTTTTTTATTCTAATTATAATAATTTAATACATTGTATCAATCCTAATCTTAAGTGTTAAAAAGAATATGTTGATGTTACTATAAAATGTGAACATGATTTATATATTCTATTCATCAATGGTGGTCTCTGTATTTTATGCTTATTTATCAATAAACAATTATACTATAAGAATTCGACAATGATGATTTTTGGGCGTAAAAAATATTATAAAAAGGCAGAGCAAATCCTTGTTCGACGCTGTTCATTTCGTGCTCTGGATACGTAACGATACGTGGATATTGCGATCACCATTGTCGAAGTTCTTACGTATTTGATTTGTGAACTAAAACTTGAATTTGTGTTACTTTATTTATCATCTTATTAACATTATCACTGAAGTTATTATAACAACCGAAGAAAAATTATCAGGTAAGATTTTTTAAATCTATAGGAATATTTATATTGTCATTTTATAAGCCTCAAATCACACCCCGACTAGTTAACTCTGACATCTCTTTCAATCTTTTTCTTTTTATTATATTAATTTTTGAGTTACGACAAAAAGTAAGACTGATAATATACATTTTTTTTATTACAGTATATTTTTTAAATGTGATAATTTTTTTTACATGTTGATAATTATATATAATTAATTGATATTATAATGAACGCGGTTGTATAATATATTAATTTAAAAATTTCTTCTTGGAACACCATATTTTTCATCACCCTAAATATCAGCTACTTCTACTCTCAAAATGTATTAAAATAGTGAATCGTTACATTTTTAATGCGATTTAATCGAGATGGATTTAATGATTTGTTTATTAATGGTTCTGAAAATAATTATACATAATTTATATATAAATAATAATTAATAACTTGTAAATTATCAAATAATTAAATAGTGATCATTTAAAGTCAATTTTGAAGATAATATTTCGTTATATTATAAATTAATACGAGATTTTAGGCTATCGTGTGATACTTCACCAAAAAAATTCAAATGAAAATATTTTTTGTGCTTTTCTAATAAAAACTGTTGGTTAGTCGACAGCAATCTTAGTGAAACTTTTAAGGATTATAATGTTTTTAGGTGGTATAAAGAGTTGGTTGCGTTATGATAAAAAATGGATATATGTGTGGCTGTAGACCAAATTTGGTATGTTTAGGGATTTGGTCAATTTATGAGCAACGAGATTCCTATCGAGTTTATAGAGTCTGAGGTTTTAGAACAATAAAGGCAAGTAAATATAAAATAAATTATTAAAGTTCCTCTTATAAAGGTATTATACGCTGAGGTATTATTGTAGTAGCTAGAATATTAACCTTCTATCTAAAACCTAGTCATAGTAATGATCAAGCACGATTTGAATAAATTTGAAATGAAACGATTTGTATTTTAAAATGATCTATTGCTTTATCGTTCTTTGCCTAGATTATTATTTTTAAATAATTGATTAATGTAAATTGTCTTGTTATTATTTCAACATTTTCAGTGACATTTAAAAATTATCAGTGTCTATTTTCAATAATTGTATTTTAGACTTTCAAATTTTCGGAAAGATAAATAATTAAGTTTTAATCGCAGAAATGTAAATAAGCGTTGTAATATGTAATATGTACCATGGCAACACGGGGTCGCGGCTAGTTAAGAAAAATAAATTCAACAAGAAAATTCTGAATTCTAAATTCAATTCAGAGCTTTAAAAATGCTCTCTCTCTCTCTGAAAATCAGCCCTTTTTTATATTATTTTTAATTATCCTTATCTTGGGATATTGTCGTCAGCGCTTTTGGTGATTTTTTCGTTTTTTGTCTTAATTCTCAGTATCTTTCTTTCGAATGTCATTAGCAGTTTGCTGTTTCCTTTGGTCAATAATCATTTTTCAATCGTGCGTGTGATTATTGGTTGTAAATAGCTATGATACAGTAATTTCTTTGAATTATGTGACAGTAGTTTTGATTTAAGAAGTCTCATTATGTTATAGTAGCATTGATTGCTAACATTGATGCTTTTCGATCGTTGATTTTTCGTGCATGTCGTTGTTGCTATTTATGTTAACGCCTAGGTACTTAAATACTTCCACTTTTTTGAAACTATACTCATCTACTATTATGTGGTCTATGTTTGGGCTTCTGCTTTTCATTTCTGCAACGTTATCTGCCTACNTTCTCAGTATCTTTCTTTCGAATGTCATTAGCAGTTTGCTGTTTCCTTTGGTCAATAATCATTTTTCAATCGTGCGTGTGATTATTGGTTGTAAATAGCTATGATACAGTAATTTCTTTAAATTATGTGACAGTAGTTTTGATTTAAGAAGTCTCATTATGTTATAGTAGCATTGATTGCTAACATTGATGCTTTTCGATCGTTGATTTTTCGTGCATGTCGTTGTTGCTATTTATGTTAACGCCTAGGTACTTAAATACTTCCACTTTTTTGAAACTATACTCATCTACTATTATGTGGTCTATGTTTGGGCTTCTGCTTTTCATTTCTGCAACGTTATCTGCCTACGCCAATATACGCCAATTCCCACATATTTCCATTTTTCAACCGTCCCATATTTCTCTCGTTGCTTTTTCTAATGCTAGATTAATCAAAGTGGTTGATTAAGCATAATCTTGTCTAAGACTTCATTTTACCTCAAAAGTTTCAGAGATCTCTTGCAAAAAACGAACTCTGCATATAGTTCTATTGTTGCATACTTTTTTAAAACTTATGTACTTTTTAGGAATGCCTAGTACTTCCAGTGCCTCCCATAGTTTGTCCCTATCAATGTTTATTTCTAGTCTATAAATACATAGTGCAATTCCTTATAAAATTCATAAGACTTAGTCATTATCTGCTTTAGTGTAAATAAATGATCCAATATCTATTTACCTTTTCTAAACCGCTTTGATACTCCCCGACTATTTCATTAACATATAGGTTAATCCTTTTTAATAGTAATGATTTATATTATTTGTATCGTAATCTAAGAGAGATATACTTTTGTAATTCTTTGTTTTGACCGAGTCTTCCTTTTTAATATAAGGCTTATTACTGCAACATTCCAGTTTTTGAAAAAAGTTTCTGTATCCCATACACCTGAAATCATCTCCATAATTTTTCTTCTTGTTTCAGTATCATCTTTCTTTAGGAACTTTGTCGCTATATTGTTTCCTCCAGGTGCTTTATTATTCTTAAAATTGTTGATTATTTTGTCAATTTCTTCTTGCTTAGGTTTTTCTTTTTTCGGTTCTGTTGTATAGTAGTAGATAGTTTCGTCGTCTCCCTCTACTATTGGTTGGTTTAAGAACCTATTAAAGTATTCTTTGAAATGATTTACTATAACCTTCTCTTCCATAAATTGGTTTCCGAACTCATCTGATAGCNCATAATTTGGTTTCCGAACTCATCTGATAATATTCAAATATGTGATTTGACATCAACTTTGAAATTACCGCTTTCATTGGAAAATTTTCTAGTATGATATCTATTACTATCAATCTCCTTTATTTATTTCTTTTCATGTAATCGTTTTTTTCTCATTAAGATTTAGTTTGTCTAATCTGTTCTTTGAAAATATAAATATTTTCCTGTACTCACAGGAATATACTTTGCAATATCCTTTTTTTCAATTCTTTTGATTATGGCATTAATGCATAAATCATTAAACCAGTCTTATTTTTGCTGTTTATTTCTTATTCCCAAAACTTTATTCGTGTGTTTTATTTGTCTTCAAATATAACTGTTTTTAATAAAGCTATTTACACAAACGTTCATATCATTCGATTTTCTATATTAGTCTAGTCCTTTCTAGAATGTCGTAGATTTATACATACTTTCTACTTATTTTGATATTTTCTTACGTTTTTATATTATATCTTTCTCTGGTTCGATGTCATTTTCCATTTCACTGATAATCGTAATTTGAATTTTGTATAAAGTAGGTAGTGGTTGGTATGTGCATCGGCTTTTCTGTAATTTCTCACCTTTTGAATACAGCTACCATGCCTTTTATTGTTTTGTTATGTAGCATGTTAAATTAAAACAGTTTGTTAGACTACCAAAGAATTCTTTATGCATGGTAATAATTAGACCTATACCACGAAACTCACTCTATTTTCATGCTTTCCATTTTTTATAATTATCCACACAATTACTCACAGAATAAGAATAATTTACATGTTACATATTATTCATGAAATATTAGCTACTTTTTAAGAGCATCCCTTATGCCTGGTAAGGGTTTATAATTATCCTTTAACAACTACGAAAAACAAAATTTTGCATTGTCTACAAATTATTTCCTTATGAGTTTAGCCCAATGAATAATCAACGCTACGGTAAAACTATGCGTATAAAAATTTCGGATGAATTAAGCTTTTTGACAAATTACAAACAAGTATTTTTTTCATATAAATAATATTTAAATAGATAAATGGAATATCAATATTGACCGAAAATTTTGTTTTATACGTAGAAAGAAATTCCGAGTACTTGGCATCAAATTTCTTAAGTTCATCATATAATGATCACCCAAATACATAAAAAACAACCGGTTCATAAATAATACAAGTTAAAAACAGACCCACTTTTTACTCCTAGTCATTATATTTAAGTGATAAAAACTTCCAAAAATACTGGATAAAAAGTTGTTAACGACCAGTCATTTTTTCATTTGTAAGTTGTTTAAGCATATAATATATGCTTAATCAACATATTATGTTCTTATTTAAAATAAAAAGTTGATACAATTTTAAGGGTAAATGTATGATCCACTTTCTTCAATCTAATCACTTTATAAAGTTAATTTTTTCTTTGAAAACTATAAATCGTAGGATATTATAAAGTTTTAAAAAGAAAAAAATATATTACATTTTATATTTTTTAAGTCATTGCATGAGTAATAGTTAAACAAACTCTTAGTATTTTAGTACAGACCATCAGTACGAAAGACTTCAATGTTTTTGCTGCATATTGGGCACTTGGGTTGATAATACATTTTATTACTAATAAAATCAGCACAATCTACACCTATCTTGTGAAGACAAGGTTCCAAGACTACATGTCTAAGTTCTTCTCTGCATGGACATCTTTCTATTAACTCTACATGTTATAAAATAAAATAAATTAAAATATGTCAAACAATTGTTATATGTATGTAATAAGGAAACACCCAAAAAAATATTGACATTTATTTAATTAATTGGATTGTAATAAATAAATAGCGTGTTTATATGTATAGCTTTGTAAAAATTATAAATAAATATTATTCCGCTCTCTATTTCTAGGTTTATAATAAAATTGACTATCGCTATTATTTTGTGTATTCAACTGGAAGAATTCAATCTACACAACATTCTTTTCATTCGTTTAANCTGGAAGAATTCAATCTACACAACATTCTTTTCATTCGTTTAAATGTTTTTACTTTATTTTTAACATGTTTTAAACATTAAATTAATTTTTCCTATAACCATAATCAACCACATTAAAATTAATATTATTCAGTTTTTAATAATTTAAGATTGAATTTTATTAATTGAAATTAGACTAACATTGTTGATTTTAATTTAAATGAAATCTAAAACTATTTTTATTTTGTAAAGATAATTTAAAAATTGTTAAATTATTACCTATCTTATTAAAATATACTATTTGTTCTCTGCATAATGGACATTCAGAAATCTTCTGTATTATTAGCTCGTTAGCACAATCATTGCATATTTTATGATTGCAAGGAATTAATGTTACCTTTAATGATTTTTCTAAGGAACAAATACAGCATTCTTGTTCACTGTCTAATGTAAAAAATTAAAATAATTTAAATTATTAATTAATTGTCACAATACAAAACAAATTACAAAGGTAATATGAAGATGAATTTCGTACACGAATATGATGATAATGATGATGAAGTTGAGTGTGCGCAGATCGTACAGCAGTTCTGTATGCTCGGCTGACACTCCACAGTAACTGTGGATATCGCAAAGCTGTTGTTATAGGGAGAAAATAACTGGGTATCAGCAGACAATAACTTTTTAATAGTATAATAAAAACTTATATATGAATATATTAACTTATATATGAACTTATTTATTTAAAAACTCAACATGTTTTAGACAATGTTTCTATAATATTTTTTAATAATCTTAATTATACTACTACTTGTTTATTCATGTCAGTTACAAATACTTATTCAAATTTTAATAATTTTCATGGAAAAGAAATCGAGTACTGTTACTAGTAAATAACATA